GTCAAGTGTCTACATTCATGGTACAGTGAGCACCTTAGGGCTTCTGAATTGGAATCCAAAAGACAAGTGACAGTCCTCGAGCAACAGGAATTCTCTTACCCTCTTGCAGCATACACTGTTGCAGGAAAGCGATTTGTCACCTTGAAGCGTCACATCCACATCCAAGATTAGGTAGTTAAAATACTGAATATATCAACATGTTTTCAATTGTTCCCGATTTGTATATTCATTGTCATTATTTAGTGTTTGGCTGGACCACAACAGGGATGTCAGCTGTAGAAATGCAAATGTCTATGACCAATTGAAGTTATACCATTGGTTCGCCAGTTGAGTGTCAGTCTCCCCATTGGCCATTGCTCTTTGAAAATGAATTGGTGCAAACAGTTTCTATTATGCCATCCCCCCCTACTAGCATCTTGAAAAAGTGATCCATATCTTATTCCTATTTTTAAAGTGATAGTTGGTTCTTATCCTTATAGTCGTATTTTATAGTCGTGAGTATAACATACCATCGAAGTAGTTATTAAGTGGTGGAGCAATTTGCATCGAAATGAATTATGGTTGAATACATAGCAGTACTTACATTTACTTACACTGAAATACCACTTCTGGTTAATGTGACAGTCAGTAAAGACCATTATTTACTAATTAATGCCTCCTGTTCTGTGTGCTGGTTACTGCACTTTAACATTACATTTTTTACAAATCTCTTTTGTAATAGGATATAATTTGATTCTTTACATGCCTAAATTCAAAATAACAAAGGTCTTTTTTTTCTTCTACAGAATCATCAACATGTCTACCAGACTTTGTGTCATACTGCAGGAAGAAATCCGCTAGCTTTCCTTGCCCTCAGGAATCCCTCAGACTGTGGAGGAATTGAAGCATATTGTACAAGAGACATTTGCAAATCAAACAAGAATTTAGTATCCAGTTCCAGGACCAAGATTTTAATGGTCAGTTTTTTACTCTCCTTGAAACTAATGAAATAAAGGACAAAGACACTGTGAAGGTGGTTCATCCTCAGTGATCACATTGACACTTGAGGATTCATTGAATGCCAAACAGTCCCAAGACAGCTTTGATAGCAGTTGTGCTGAGGAAGATGTTGGTTCCAGTTCCACTGTGTCTAGTGATACCATAATTCTGTCTTCTCCAGAGAGCGCTTCCTCCCTTCGTTTTGTGCCTTGGCCAGCTCAGTTTGAGATACCTACCTTGTCCTTTGACACAGAGCTTGTTCTACAAGCTGCAAATGAAGCTTACAAAAAGGACGGAACCCTACTCACCAATCCTGCAGTAAAATCTGACACCTGAACAAATTAGCAGAGTGCATCTTTGTCTACACTGCCTATGCTTCACAAGCCCGAAGGGAGCAGGTCGCTGAGGCCCTGGTTACGAAGCATCCGTGTTTGAGGGACCCAGTGTCCTTCAATGGTTTATATAGTTGGAACAACAGCCTAAAGTACAAGTTGGGCAATTACAGAGCAAAGGTGAGACACCTTGGACTACCGGAGCTAAACGTTAACTGTCTGAAGAGGAAATCAGCTGCAGATAGAACTCCAGCAAATGGCTTGAAAAAGGCAAAGAAATCTGAGGTTAACTACCTCCCACCTCATCCTCAAGGTGAAACTGATGCAACCCTTGAACAGGAGAGAGTGGAGCTTCTGTATGTGTACAAGAAGAGAGATAACAACAAGCTCATTAATGAGAAAATGGCCAAAACCTTCTCACTGCGTTGAAATTATGTAATCCTCAAGAAACCACCTGTGATTGACCTCAAAGCTCGATGACCTGCCCTGTTTGAGCTTTCCCAGGTATGTTTATCTTGTGTTGTGAGAATAAAGTAAAAAATACACTTACCTGATCACCTGTTCAAGAAAATGAGCAGTATTCTTACCTGATGGAGCTGTGAGGGGGAAAATGTTATGTCTATCTGATTACCTGTGTAATAGCAAGCACTCCATTGTTAGATAGCGCACTCACGATTCAGTTCAAGCTGAATACTCGGTGTATTTTTCTCTTGCCCTGTCTCTTTCTAATTGTTTTCTAGGATAGGAATCACACAATAGGATCACACTGAAACCATTACAGTCCACATTCCTGGGGAAGTTGGACCAATATACGCCCAAACTGTTGTGCCTGTACAGGAGGAAGGGGGGAGCCACTGGGAAGAAACTTGATGAGACCCTTGACATGTTAAATGAGGTATGTACTTACAACAGTGTAGAAGTTAGTTTTATGTATCAAAATTGCACTGTACTCTCTGTACTTAACATAATGACCTATTTTATACTTTTGTAGGACCACAGCATTGAGTTCCGAAGAGATGTTGTAATCAGAGGCCTCATTCTCTACCTTGGTGAGAAGACGGAGGATTTAATCAAAGACTACCAGGTAAAGAAAATATACCTTTGCCCTGTCTGTGTATATTGTGTATATATATATACTGTGAATACAATATTGTGCAAGCTAGGCTGATTGCTGAATGGTATCATGTATACACATTTCTACTCAAGTATTATCAAATTATTAAAAGGCATACAGGTTAGCAGATAAGCAATTATAATTTGGGGAAAATTAATAAATAAAATATAGTAGCATGTAGTATATAACAGCTGCAAATAAGCACACTTTTTAAATGTATGTATTCACAAAACAGGATTGGTTATATACATTTTAGATTCTGCCTATATTCACTAATGTGTGGGCAAAATACATATTATTGATAAACCCAACTCCCTTGATGCATATCTGTCATACTTAAACCTCTAAAGAGAAATGAAATAAAGTTTCGCCATTAAAGTTGCACCTTGCTTTCTCATCTAAACTGTCATAATAATAAGTTTATAGAATTATCAGGTTTTTAACATACTATTGCCTGTTCACTGTCCCAAATATACAATACTTACCTCTTAACCAATGCTGCAATACTAAAGAAATACCACAAAATATCAATCTCATCTTCTGTATCGAGGTAGAGCAAAGTTAGCTATATGCATCCTTCCAATTACTACCTTAGAGTTGGTTGTATTTTCTCTGCTGTATTTCGCAGGTTTTTGATGATGATGCCACAGCCATCCAAGAGGACCTTACTACATTTGTCCTCAACATCTTTGTGGTCAGCAAAGCCAGGGATGATGGTCTCAACAAGCAAGCTGGAATAGCCATTGAGGGAGCAGAGGTCCTTTTTGGTATTCCTGATGTGGCACATGCTTGTACTTACCTGATGGGTCTTATCTATGCCATGGAACTAAGCTACCCTAAGACACTGAAATACACCTTTGAGGTTTTTCAGAAGATCTTCCTAGAGCTGGAGGATGTGAACAACAGGATGTCCTCCAAGGTTCATGATCTGAAGGTCAGATTACATTCCTAAAAGCCATACAGACTTGGTTGAAGGCAGAGGGTTTTAGTGAACCCCCTCCTGTCAAGGTTTACAGTTGTGGTGTTTACACTGCAGTGTCTCAGGTTCTCAAAGTCTCGAAGTGCACTTTCTCAGGTTACACTGATCTATTTTGATGCTGGTGTTTGCTTATTTGGGGAATGTATTGTATGTATTGTATTATAGTGTGAATTCCATCAGTTCTCTGTACTTTTAATGCCACAAAATTCAGCCCTGGTCAGCTCAGACAAATCCTTGTCACCTAGGTTTTCATATGGGATTGTTGTTGTTAATTCAAGGTTGTAAGAGCATTTTAAGGAACGTAACTGTTCAGGAGTGAGAAACACATGACTCATGAAGAAGATCCTATACAATGTGAATGTATTGTATTCATAATTCAAAATAAGACCTTACTTCAACTTGTACATTGATTGAACTGCATTTCAGAATCTTTTAAATTACAAGTTAAATATTTATACCCGATGGTTGACTCGTGGGTGTTGTTCAGAATACATACTGTTGCTCAGTTGGCAGACAGGGTCTGGGGGATGGCCTTGTCCATTTATACGTGTGTTCAACACTTCAGCTACATGGCAGTATATTAATGGATGTAATGAATGGATTGTTGTAGAATTTAGCAAACACATTCATGATGTTTAGTCAATAAATCCATTAAATTTTAGTGACTTTATGGCCTTCTATGAGCACATTCATATTTTCTACACTGTGAACCATGTCAATTTTGTCAGTTTATCTCAAGACCAATATGTCAGTTTTCAGTAGTACATTAATGCTTTTCAAAGGAATATTCCTCTTGGTTGTGGTGACCTTATGACCTTTCTCTAGTACCATCCTCATGCCAAACTTTTGACTTGTACACAACATATCTTTATGTAATGCATGGAGTGCTACGTAATTTGCTGAGTGTACCCTTCTAATAAAATAACCAATTATTTGAATTGCTTACTAGAAAATGTGAGTAAATGTAACTTTAAAACGACACTAGCACATTTGGAAAAACTATGTAGATCCCACTTCAAGTAAGAAATATCAAATTAAAAAAATTAAGTAAGTTTCAATTAAAAATGCATATTTGTAACTCAAGAAATTAAGCAGATAAAACACTCAAAAATACGCTGGGAAAATTGCTAAAATTAAGTAGACTTAACTTGCAAATACATTTTTTATGTTCAAAAAATTAAGTTGTTTATACAAAGACTAGCTTTGCTTGATCTACGTAATAACCTGATGTAAAAAGTTGCCTCAATTCTTTTAAGTAGATCATGCAGGATATTTTTATCAGTGTAGTGAATTTTTGTGCAATATCTCAGGGCATTACTGAGATATCGCATTCATGAGAATGGGACCTGAAAACAATATGGCTCCAGCTCTGACTGGTGCCGGTGTGGAGGAATACAAATGGTGTCTCTGGCTACATTCAAACACTTATCTGAAAGACTGTCATTAACTCAGTGATAATCCACTGTGAGATGATGGTATGAAAAATGTAATAATTATAGATGACCAGCTAATTGACAAACATTAATCCTTCCACTGATATGATATATATATTCTTTCGCAGCGATATCAGAGTGACCCTGTGGTGGAGACATGTTACCTTTGACTGCTGCTGCCTCCGTGTCACAGGGAGCAGGTACTGATGGGACCTCACTGATGGCGGAGATGATATGAGTCGCCTCTGCTGAAGCCTCTGGCGGGGGGACACACACAGGAAGACACAGCATGTCTGTGAGCACATGGTTTCATCTGCACTAACAGCTTCAGCTGTAGTGTGGTAAGTTATCACGGAGCTAAATGTACTGGACTGCACTACAGTCTAATGATCTATGAGCTGTACATGTATTTAAGGCCACAAGGCCCTAAGGAACAGGGCTGAGTCAAATGATCAGTTTCATCATCAGTCTGCTATTTATTTTATTTTCAGTTTTTAAAATGTCAGACAAAAAGAAAGAGCAGTAAATGTTCACATCTGAGAAGTGAAGTCTAGCAGTTTGGTGTTTTACTTCAGTTAAAGGACTAAAGGGCAACACACACCATAGACATATGACACACATCAAAGCCATGTTTTCTATCCAGACCAGCAGCAGCAGATTCTTTTTGTTGACTTACTCATGGACTGACCCTAGATGAAGTTCTGGAGTTTATAGACTAAGGGCCTGATTTACTAAGATCCCAAATAAAGAGCGCTAAATTGCGTGCGCACACGGATAGATTGCGCGCACTGCCTGTTTGGGCCTTGCGAGTGATTTACTTAGATTAACAGCGCAGTTGACTACAGGCGCAAAAGTGATCGAGCCGGCCCTATTTAAATGAGGATTTTGCGCGAGTTAAGGGTGTTCACCGAGGCGAATGCAAACGAGCAGATCCAATTGGACCGGAATTGGAGGTGCTGGTACAAGAGGCAAACAAGCACATTTCTGAGTTATAGCAAAGGAATTTAACCGTTATTAGGAGGAACGCAATATGGGAGGAAATCTGTGACAAGGTTAATGCTGAGGGGAAAACCAAAAGAACACCGGATGCAATGAAGAAAAGGTGGCAAGACTTTCGTAGAAGAACAAAGGAAAAAATCGCACAGAATAACAAATCGGCAAATAAAACAGGTGGAGGACCGGCGGAGGAGGACCCTCTGTCTCCCATTGAACAGCAGGTGCAGCTGCCGTTCTGTGATGAGCAGATTACTGGGATAGAGGGAATATTTTTAATTCATTCAGGTACACCACATAAGACATGAACGTGCGTCATGAACGTTCTTTAGCTGTGCAATGGAAAAGCGTAATTGGCAAAAGAGTTTTTTTTGTTTGTACGTTCCAGCAGGGGCGCAGAAGTGTGTGCGTTTTCATTTGTTTTAAGTTTCAGGAATAAATGATAGGAACTAGGCCTAACTAAATGTTTCCTATGTCTAAAAGAAAGTGGGCTTTAGTACATAAAAATGTGAGTTTTTGTCAAAGTAGCACAAACAAGAAACACTTGACATTATGATGCAACATTTATTATTTAAGGATTTTCTGAACTCTGAACGAATGACTTTTTTGTTTTGCATCGCCGGATAACCGATATGTCTCGATTATTTTTTCTTCTGCCACTCCAAAAAGAGTGACACGAACAGAAAAGATGGTTCTCTCCGTTGCCTGTCGTGCCTACGCCGCCTCCTTGCAACAATGACCGCAGCCATCTGTGCGCACGGCTGTGGCAGGTAGCCTAAGACTTGACTTTCAAACGTGCTAAATATAGACGCAAAAATAATCAGCGCAATTAGTTTGAGGTTTGGTAAATCACATTGCGTGCGCAAAATGATTCTATTTGCATCTACTCCTCCCAATATTTTGCGCGTTCTGGCAGGCACGCCTATATTGCATATTCATGAAGGCAGAAGCGCAAAATGGATAGCGCGTGTTATTTTGCTTGACTGACAGACGCAATCCTCGGTGCGCCCGGTTGGTAGATCAGCATCAACATGTGTTTGCGCGTGCTGTCGCGTTTGCGCACGTTTTTACGCACGCAAAGCTTTAGTAAATCAGGCCCTAAGAGACTGCAGGTCGCTGCAGTACTATGGTAAAACACCGGATCCAGATCTGAGACTGTGTTCTTTGTGGAATGATATCTGTTAAGTGTTTGTGCTTCCTGTCATCAATTCCTCTCACACCAAGACTGACAAGTCCCTTTAGTTTATCAAACAAATGTTTTCTCCTTTTTTCTTTTTAATATTTATGAATATTTCTAATATTTAACTTTGTGTTTGAGTGTGTGTTTGCTGCTTTTCAGTGGATTCACTCTATTATTTAACTGTGATCCAGACTTCAATGCTACTATCGTGGATCAGGACTGGTCTCTAAAACATTCTAGATCTGCTAATCCACAAACAGAGATTGAAAGAGTTGATCTGGCGCTCTGTTATGAAAAGGTGTCTTCAGACTGTTTTTGGCTTCTTTTAAAGGACCTATTCTGACTGCAGGTTCTGGTCTGGGACTGCTCCTCAGGTCTTGGTCTTCAAGGGACCATGGAAGTACTTATCAAGCATTCCACTGATTAGACAATAAAAGCAGAATAAAAATATAGGAATAAAAACAAGAATAAATAAATTGATTTTACAAATGAATTAATTAATCCACAATTAATTAATTACATTTCTAAGTATTTCATTAATTGATATTTGAATGGAAAAGACAAAGGGATTATAAAAGAATTTACATTAATCTATCAATAAATAATAAAAGTTCTAATTAAAAAGTCATTAATAAACACCTAAATAAATAATGGCATGTCTGAATTTGAAAATTCAGTGTCCACCATGTCTGTGTGTCCATACCCTTCACTGTCTCATCTCTTAAGTCTAGAGACACCACAGAGATCTACAGGAAGCTAAAGTAGGAGAGAGGACAGCTTACCCTCAGATGTCTCTGTGGACACAGAAAACAACAGAGTGCACATAAAACACTGACATTTCAACATTATTAAAATGAGTCAGACACAGTAACAAAGTCTCCGACATCATGGTTCAGTCTCTGTCTCCCTTTGGGGCCCCATAGACTGGTCTTACCTGTGGGCTCTTGTGAACATTGACCAGTGCAATCCTAGAGGAAACACTGCATTGACCCCTAACTTCTGGTCTGAAAGAAACAACCTTCTACTGTGGTTAATTATGAAGTCCATCACTCTATATTTTTTTTAATTCTGCAGACTTCATTAACTCTCTATCTAATGAACAAGTCAAATTCAATCAGAAGAGGTTGAGAGATTCTTTTTAACCTCAACATTAAATAAATCAAATTATGTTAATGTAACATGATAAAGAACATAATATGTTTTAACATTCCAGAAATGTGGTCACACATCATGGGGGTCGACCGATGTGGCTTTTTTCGGGGCCGTTATTGTTCATTAGTGATTAAGGAGACTGATAACTGATATGAGGAACTGGTATATACAAAAACACACACAAGTGCAGTTGCTGCCCAAACTTCAACAAAACTGACTGTGATTGGCTAAACTCAGGGCATTTTTTACATGTTGTTCTGTTCTAGCAGGAGATATCACAGCAGCTTTATTGCAGATCAACTTCTGTTAGGGCATGTACATGTGTGCATACATATCTTGTTATGGTTGTGGGGACAAACTTTGGTTCGAAACCATCATTGTGAGGTCACTTTGGCCTCGCAGTTTCAAAGAGCTTTTTGAGGGATACCTGCAGTGACTGAGGTCAGAGTTGGGATAATTCTCTACAACATGAATGAAACTCAAAGTAACGTCCTCTGTAGAGATTAAAACGTGTGGATACACACCAAGCTGCAGGCACATTCAAAGTTTCTTCAAGAATTTTCTAGTTATGTGCCTGCAATGCAATAGCATTGAAGGCATATATTATTATCCTGCATACTCGTCTTATTCATTATTAATAGTATTATTGATAACACTAGTACCTATAGGTATAAGATTATTTCCACTATAACACTTAACGATTAACATCAGATACAATAAAACCATTACCTCTGGGTAACTGGGGTAACTGTTCTTATTTTCACTGTTACAATTAACAATCAACAGTATATACTGCTGTTTATTGGGACTGGGTTGAAAAACAATCGATTCTCCTATTACAATCGATCTTCATTTGAATAATCGACCAATATCGATTCATAAAACCCAAGATCGATCTTTTAATATAGGTCCTTTGCTCTCCTGTGGATGTGTGAAGCTGTCACAACGAGATCTGGTCAGGTGAGTGTAGGTCTAGAGCTGCCGGAGCCACCGTGCGGTATGACGTTACGTCACTTTTTTTCTCAAAGTGAGAATCCAGTTAAAATGTATATTCATTTTTAAAAGCTTGAAGATCCGATCTTTGATTTGCTTTTAATAGTTCTCTACATGACACACGTGACTTCATGTAGGGAGCTAATAAAAACAAATCAAATAGTCAAAGTTGTCATACTGACATTAAAGTAGGGATGCCCCGATCATGTTTTTCTGCCACTGATACCAATACTGATCATCTATGAGTGAGATTGGCCGATTCACAGTCAGTACCGATCATTTTTGGTGACATTGCTAGGCTCCAAACTGTGACGTATGCAACTATTTTTGTGAGTGTGTGAGTTAAAATTACACATGGTCATTGCATGATCATTACTGATTAGGCTGTTTTGGTGCACTTCATATTTGAAAGTGTTTTTTTTTTCCTTCACTGGCTCAGTTGGTCTGAATACCTGCACTTTCATCAGAATGCAGGAGCAGACAGGGACAGACAGAGACACCAAGCTAAGTCATTACCCATGGTTGCAGTATGAGAGCAATGCTATATTGTGTGCATAGTGTAAGCAGTGTGGCCTGTTCATTGCAGACAACTCTAAGCTTAAATTGCGTTGATTGGTAATAAATTTAAACTCCTGCAATTTAAGCACAAAACCTGCCGGGACTGAGCACCTCCTCTCTTCATTTCAGAGGGAGAGCGAAATGGTCATCAAATTAAAGACAGAGAAAGAGAGTTCCTCAGACCATTGGGGCAAAGTGAGAAATATCCATAAATCAGTTACTGTCAATTATTCCCATTCTGCTGCTGCTCTCGGGCCGTGTGCATGCAAAGAGGTCAGTGAATGAGTTACTATGGTTACCGCAATGCTGTGTGTCTCAGTTGCTCTGAAACTTTGTCATGATTCCGTAAAGGGTTTTTGGGTTAGTATGCCTTTACAAAAATCATGAGTGTTATTGTTCCTCATTACTGAAATCTAATCGTATAATTTTACATTTTTGTTGAACATAATTCAAGAAGAGGAAGCCTCAGAGCCTCCTTCATGAAGATATAGGCTATATTTAAAAAAGGGGCAACCAAATCATGGCTGCAACCATTGAAAGTTAGTCTGGAGCCCTGCATTGCAGATGGCATACATTATATCAGTCCCACATACTTTGTAAAAGTTCCACACGCCAAAACAAGTTTTGTTTGTGTGGCCTGCCGCGCACCAGCATAGTGAACAAGGTGGGAGGCGGGACTACACTACACAGCACACAGTGCTTCTCTCAGCCGCAGACACCAGAGTATTAACCACAGGTGATCAGTTTTGAGGTGATCAGTGACTAGAAGCATAATTTGCCAATCTACGATCACTGTTTTTAAGGAAAATCAAATGATAAACTGCTTTGGGTCCATTCATAATGTACACATTCAAATTCTTAATAATGCAACAGGTTAGAGGAACAATTAGTTAGCATTAGTTATCTGAGAAACTCATTCATATCCAAGAAAAATTGATATTGTAACTGAAATATCTCTAACTGAATCAATATCAAATCAGGAATCGAACCTAAACTTTATGAATCGGAATCAAAACGATTCAGGAATCAGTTGCAGTACCCAGCCCCACTGTTCATGGTCTCTCTCTCTCCTCCCTCTCTCTCATCCCCCACCCCCTCTTTTTCCTCTCAAACCCAACTGGTCAAGGCAGATGGTCGCCAACCCTGAGCTCGGTTCTGTTGGAGATTTCTTCTTGTTAAAAGGGAGTTTTTCCTCCCGTCGCCAAGTGCTTGCTCTTTGTGGGAACTGGTGGGTTTCTCTCTTTAGAAAAAGTAAGGTACTGACCTTACCCTGTAAAGTGCCTTGATATAATGTATATTATGATTTGGAGCTATATAAATAAACTTGGAAATTGAAACTGATTAAGTGTCAAGTGAGCTATCGGAGCTCTGTACTACCGACTTTACCTGAAGAAGGTGAGCATAAACTTATTTTTGCACACAGAGCTTGTCAGTTACTGCTCACTTCTCTAGTCCACTTGCAGCTATAACTAGCTGGGTTTAACTTGATATTACATTATTCACGCATTATACAGGATGGGTGGTAACCCTAATGCAGAGTTTGCTCCACTGCTGAGAAGAAGACGATTCCCTTTTTCCCTTCCTTTTTTCTTGTTTTCGACAATCAACTGTTTAGAGCTGCTTGTATAGTACCTGTGCGTGCACAATGCAAGCTTGTTCAAACCATTGTTTCATAGGTATCTGTCTGTATTTGTATGTACTTCTTGCTGTTCTTGGTTAAATGTTAAAGTGTGAACAATAATTTTTTTTTTGGTCATTGAGGGACGGGATAGTTGTTTCTCTGCTTTGTTTTAGAAGAAATATTGCACTGTCTAAAATCTCAAATGTCCTGTACCCTCAATTTTTATATTTTACTAATGGTCACAACTTTAATACTCGGCATCAAGAGGTTGTTTTTTATTTCCAGTCCCAAAAACTAATGCAAGGCAGTGCACTGTTCTGTACAGAGGAAAGAAAACATGGAATGATTTACTATCAGATATTTCACATTTAAAAGTGTTTTTAAGAGGAGTTTAAAGAAATACCTAATGGCACAGAACACCAGCCCCTCTAACACAGGTCATGTTTTACTACGTAATATCTGAATATGATCATTAATGAGGAACTTGTGGTTATTTTTATTTCTGTTTTTATTTATTAAACTCATTTTATCCTTCAGTCACTGTATATCGTGTTTTTGGTGGTATTATTGTTTTTTGAGCTGGATCAACTGTTTTACTTTTACTTTAGATAAAGCATGGAACTTGAACTTAAGTAACTTTTACATCACTGGAGTCCAGGAAAAGTAGTTGCTCCCTTGGTAGTGGCTAATGGGGATCCATAATAAATAAAATACAACAATTTATAAAAACTGTTCATTATAAACTTCATGAAGGAGGAGTTATTACAGGACTGTTGTAGTAGACTGATCAGTTTTAGCTAGATGTTCCAAATAAACTGAGTGTATACGTGTAATTATCAGTTGTATACACAGGCTGTAAAGAGCCTGACTGGAATTCATTGGCTGATTTCAGTGCTGTTCTCACTGGGAAACTAAGTATGAGCGATGAAATACCAATGTATATACACCTCGTAACCTGAAGATATTCTTTATTCTAATAGTTTAATCATATGATATCATTATTATCATCATCATTTAACATGTATTACCTCCCCTTTTAAAAACATAACAATAACAGTTTAACTGGCTTTGTACAGTTTTGATTTTACTCATCTTGAATAAAATATCTGCATCAGAAGCAAAGTAGCTCATTTTTTAATTAATTTAAAATCTTTAATCGGATCCAATAATCTGCCAGGCTGATAATCGGTTGACCCCTTGCCTATAAACAAATAAATCCATTCAGACCAAAATCCCAGTTTCCCTTTTAATTAAATGGGAAACTGGAGTTTTGGACCCAACTACACATACAGCTATAAATGATTACACTTCAAGATTGTTGCTCTTACAGCCTAAATGATTTACTGCATTTACCCCTCAAAGCAGAAGGTTCAGCAGTCTCCATTTTATTCTGATCACCACCACACCAACAGAGGGACCTGGAGTTCATGTATTTTAAGTGAGGGGGTTTTAACCAGTGCTTGTTCTCTCTCTCTCTCACACAGCTCCACTCACTTGCAGTGATGTTGCTAGGTATGCGTCCTGCGTCCCTGACGCATTAAAATCTGAAAGGACACAGTAAACTCACTATCCATGCGTCCCAGGGACGCAACTCATTTTTCCCATGAAAAACGATACACTGTGAACAACAACTCGTGTTTAAAATCACAGTAACTAGCAAAAGTAACTTCGCTGTCAGCAGACCAGGCAAGCGCTGTTTCAACCCTCTGCGCATCTACTCCGCGCAGACGTGATCCCCTGTGTACAGTATCGCGACATGCTAGTTTAGCCACTACCACAACAATTAGCCAGTCACCGCGGATTTCATTTCAACAATTAAAGATACGAACTTCATAGTGGTAAATAAACTCATGTTTCCACTGCTCGATGCTGTGTTCACTCATGTCGACAATGTTTTAACGTCTAGGGGACGTGCTGTAATGAAATAAATAAAACATACTCCGGTGGCGGTGATGAAAAATACTTTAACAGACTTTCCACTGTGTTAGGTAAGTTTCATTTGGGTGCTAAAAGTTTCACAGTGATTGACTCAGTTCATTTGATTTAGTTGATGTTCTTATTTTGGTGACAATTTATTTGTTGACTCTGTCATGGTGATGAGAATGTTTTGTTTATGTGTTAAAATCAGCACTTTTATTGATAATTTATTTTGGTACTACAGACACCATTTTGTTTTCATTTGAATTTTAGTAATTTATTTTGGTGCTATTTATGTTGCTACAAAAATGCTATTTTATTTGAATTTTGTATGTCATGCCGCTGTGACAGTTTTGCAATAAACTTTTCAGATTTGGAATCTTATTTGTTTAATTTCAGATACATTTTGAACATACATGAATATATCTGTTAATTATAACCGTATCATACCACCATCAAAGGAGTTTAACACTACAATTTAAGAAATAGAAGAATATATTTTTATTGGGACCCATTTGGGACCCATTGAATTTCCCAGGGACCCACTCATATCACCACCTGTGGGTCCTGGGGACTCACTACATTGAAAACCTATCAACATCACTGCACTTGGTTTGATAATTAAATAAATAAATAGATAAATTACAGTATCATAAACTGGGTTAAGATTCAGGACAGAATGAGGTCATTGTAAAAAGTTTCCAGTCTGAGGTGATGTCACCACACAGTGGTACAGCGCTGACACACTGCTGCCCTCTAGTGCCCGCTCCTCACTTCACAGCAGCAGGTGACAGACTTAAGACAACTGTGACAGCAGTGGACAATAAGCCTGAAGACTTACCCTCTATGCTCTGTGCAGGCTGTGTGGGGACAGGACGCATCTCTTTGGCTGAACCTTCTGCTGCCTCCTTAACCTTCTTCTCTGACTTGGCTTTAGATGCCTTCACCTGTTTGTCCATCATGGAGGGAGGCTGGGCCTTCTCCATCTTAACAGCAGAAATAGCAGCCATTTTAACTGTGTAAAGCCACATATGATATTCAGTTCTGGACAAAGTCATATCCAACAACAAGACATTTTAGATGGAATTTAAATTACTTGAACTTCATGATTCAATGTAATGATCAAGTCAGGTGTTTTTGGCCCTGATGCTGATCAGAGTTTTTTGTTGCTGCAAATCTTCAACAGAGTCTGATCAGGTGGTTACATTCAATACTAAATATTGATTAAATATGTATCTGACACAGTGAAATAACAGCTGAAGCCGTCTAAATCTGGAACACATTTTTCAAACTACTGAAGGTCTTGTTTGGCAGATTAATTTCAATTATTGATCCGATATTAAGGACAGTTTAACTGAGGGAATGCCACTCCTGAAACTGACATGAGACGATCATCTAGAGAGAGGAGGTACTACTCTGTCTGATTTGATGGAACTACAGAAACACACAGATTTTACAGGGTTGGGTCATTTACTTCATAAACAGTCTTTAGCAATGTAGAGAACCCATAAACATGACCAATGATGAGTTCTGTCATCATACTCACAGAATTAAAATTAATTGTTAACAACTAATAACTGAATTAACTTTTAACAGCTAAACATGAATAACTGCTATCTGAATGTTTACTACACTGAGACTTCATTGCAAAAAAAAAAGAAGAAAACTTGCATTCGAACTCCGATATTGATCAAGGACGAGTGAAATTCTGTAAAAATGCTTAGCTGCTACGTTTTCTTCAGTTCAGTTTAGTTTCACCATTAACTCCACACCAAGGTACACAAGTTCGATGCTTCAACGAACGAACAGCAATTGTACATATTGCCGTTTCATTTCTGATGTCTGAGAGAGGATCTTAGGGAAGAACAGTAAAGAACAGAGTCGATCACAGGCACAAAATAATTTTTCATATTCACACTCTAAAGCTACGTTTCAACCAAAAAGTACCTAGAACTTTAAGTTCCAGTTCCAGTTTTTTTTTTTACCTTCTCCCAGACCTGTTTCGCAGTGTGGAAAATGTGTTTGCTTGCTCGCTCGCTTGCTGCAGACTTTTAAACATTGCGGGTGAAATAAAATGCAGTGAGCGCTCGACCAGTCAGAAATGTTCAGCACTGCACACTACACCCCCAAAGCTCCTGAACCTTTGGAAAGTACCACTCTCAACCAGGGACTTTTTTGGGGGTCGACCAATTACCCTGGAACTAAATATAGACCCTGCTTCCTGCCATAGTTCCTCAAAAGGTTTCTGGGGGAGGTTTCTGCAGTGGAAAGGCGGCTTAATGTTCATTCTCATATGTAGTGAGAGTGTAGAGCCAGCTGTCATAAAACACAGCAGCTGTGTAACACCAGTAGGCTGAGGAAGAACAACACAGTAGAGTCCGGTAAAGATCTATCTTTGTATTTGTGTCCCAGTAAAAACACATCTGCACTACATGCTGTGTGCATGTTGTCAAGTGATCACAGTCACATGAACAGCATATGGGACTGTCAGGACAGAAAGCAAAGAAGAAAACTGATGTGAGCTCAGTTTGTGTTTGGTGTACAGATATGAGCTCTGACTCTGGCTCAATTAAATGAAGTTTTATCCATTTGACACTGTAAAATATCTTTGGTTCATTATAAACTGTGTTTGGACTAATCAGACTGTCAGAGGACGTCAGTAGAGTAGACAGTCCTTCATAGGACGTCAGTAGAGTAAACAGTCCTTCAGCGGACGTCAGTAAAGTATGCGGTCCTTCATAGGACCTAGAGTAACTGGTCCTTCAACGTGGCCTAATACACATTCACGTTCACACTGCTAAAAGAATGTGGCCACACGTGGTCCATACTACTTCTGAATGTGGTCTGACTGATTGGATCTCAAATGCATCCTCAGTGCGTCTAGGGTGTGTCCACACCTTAACTTAGAGCTGACCACTGGTCATCACCTGAGATGAATGTTAATACCAGATCTATACAGGTCTGAAGAGGACTGAATTCTATTCAGGATTCTATTGTATTCAGTGTGTCTTGCAAGCTAAGATCTGTCTGCAGCTGTCAGGCTGTCAGGTCAACACACACAGTGACAGACTCTCAGTCTCTGTTCAACACAGTGAACGTCTGTACTGTCTGTACTGACAGTTCATGTGAAGCTGTGTGATTATTCAATATAAATCCCTGCTCTTCAGTTTTTAACCAGTTTATCTGATCATGTGACTTTACACACTTTTACATTCAAGTAAATAACAATGTTGCTCTGCTGTTGATTGTAAAGGTAAATGCAAGATCCCAGGATTCACACAACACTGGTGTTTATCTGATGTGACAAACAGTCTAATCTAATGAAGAGGGCTTTCCAGTTACCTCTTTCTTGACTGGGAGGCCATCTTGAGAAGGGGGTCCCAGAGCCACACCCAGCAGCCAGTCGGAGTATGGAACATTGCTCTCCACAGCTGCTCTGAACTTGTGGTCCCATTTGGCGTAGAGTATCGTACCTCCAATGCCTCCGCCTACTGTCACCAAGCCAGCAGCAACCACTTTAGCAGCTCCACTGTGGTGGAAGAGGACAGACATGAAACTGAGGGCTGTGTGTGTGTGTGTGTGTGTGTGTGTGTGTGTGTGTGTGTGTGTGTGTGTGTGTGTGTATTACCTAGACTCTCCTGTGGTGTAGTGCCGGGAGTGTTGCAGATTAGTTAGAGGAGTCCTCCCACAGTGCTTCTAAAGAGAGAACAGGAGAGAGAGGAAGAGAGAAAATTAATTTAATATCGGCCACAGCTAGTTCATGAAATGACCTCCAATGTCTCAAACACACACAATGGCCATATTTCCTGCCTAACTGCACATTACCCTTTGCCTGCAGCACGAGCAGCACACCCCACTTATGCAAATACAACATTCAAAATAACAAAGCTGCTGCAGACAGGTGTCAACAGAGACTGATGTCAGATAATGCTTCAAGCATAAAGGAGATGTTTCCTCACATCTCTAACCTCTGAACTAAAGGTGCTAGGGCCGAGACTAAGGACACCAGTGAGGGAATGTTCGCTTCTGGTGCTGTGTCCTGGTAGACAAAAGACAATTTCACTTTAGTACAGACTAAAGTCGTATTTTATTCTGTTGTTCTGGATGTAGCCCATGTCTCTGCAAAGGTGATGCAAATATTGTCCAAACACCAGTCCAACAAATTCATTCATTATTACAACATGTCAAGTTATCACAATTTTCTCTGACAACAAAAATCCCTTAAACCACAATGTAATAACTAGAACAAAATTTTATTACTTTAAACACAGCAACTAATATTTGAGACGGTTATCATAATGTCAATATATTTGTTACACTGTAGAAACGTCACATTATCCAAAGCAATGGAGTTCTCGGTTTTAACCACTAGGTGAAGCTAAACGCTCGGAATTAGAGGGCTTAGCCCTGGGCCGTGTCACGATCCTTGTCCTGGTTCTAGCGGACAGCACTGACCATTTTTAATTTAAGTCACAGAGTATCTGAGTCACACATGAAGCCGACATGTACAGGCAGATCTGTGGGAATGTAGGGCAGGACCGCCCGGGGCTTTTAGATAGCGCTGCTTTAGAGCAGAAATGTAGTGACCCAAACACACAACAGTTGCTAAACTCGTTAGCTTTAGCCAATTGTCACTTGAAGCTAACAAGTAGCTCTGACATTGTGCTCGTTCGTCACCGGCTCTTCCTGGTGACAGCTTCACTAAAGAGTCGTGTTACTTCTGCAGTCTAACGTTAGCTCACGTTTTAAGGTCAACATCCCGCCTCTGTTCACTGCAGACCCGCTGTGGCACCTTGAGGGTCACTGAATGACAACACGCTAATGCTAACATGGCAGCTGACGGCGGGTCGGAGGAGGCTCTCTGCGGCTCTTACCCGGGCTGTGGCGTTAGCTCCTCTCAGACAAGCCCTCAGCATGGTCTTCGGTCACTTTGTTCTCAAACACTGATCACTTTAACCTGCACAGAGAACTGACTCCTTTCTCCTCGTTTTCCTTTTCCTTTCCACTCTTCTTCTTCCTCGTATTTTACGTCGTTTGAACGCTTGTGTGCGCAACACTGCCCCCGTCAGCCACATGAATGCAGCACCCCGGAAATCCCGCTACAACTAGTCAATTTATTGAACTGTGAGCCAGACTTAAAGCTCCATATGTAACAGAGTTCGAAAATGCACTTTATTAATTTTTGTTTTCAAATTGTATTTGGGGATTTTATTTATCATTTATTTATTTTGCTGAGTATTTGTGAATTTTATCTCAATCGGTTATTATTAGTTATTATATTATTTTATTGGTATTTTTATTTGCATTTCCTGAGGAAACTACCTTTTTGGCCGTCACCTCTTTCTGTACCTCTTGGGTTACTGTAGGTCATCATGTGAGCCCCTCACAGTGCTGTGTGCATTGATGAGGGTAAGTTGTGTTGAAAAATGCTGCTGTGATTGTTAATTGTTTTCTTTAAAAAAACGATCTGTTTATGTTGAGATTTTTTGGCACATATTGAAATACCGGTAACATTATGTAGCTGTTTTATGTTGTTTTATCCATAAATATACGTTTTATGGATGTTTTTGTTTTCGTGCCATTTGTACTACAGCAGGCTGCTGCGTAATGTAAACCAGGCAGCGCTGCAGAGCCTTTAGCATTTTAGCACACATTTTCTCATTGTTATTTTACTTGTTTAGGTGCAGAAAGAGTCCAGAAGACTGGTACATGTGTTTTTGTCTTCTGCAGGTATGTTTCCTTTGTTAAATGTAATTATTTTCGCTGTCTGTTTAGTTTTATCCCGCATATACAGTGGTTTCTTTTTGTCCACTAGGTGTCACTGTTCCCATATTGTTTATTATGGTTCGAGATTCATTAGTTAAAAAACAAAGTGTTTTCCTGTCTGTTATTAGCTTTTATTTAGTAAAGTGTAAGAGTGCATCTCTATGCATTGTAAAAGAAAATGTCATCATTGTCAATGAAATCACACAGTGCTGTGCTGCATTGATGAGGGTGCAGAAAGAGTCCAGAAGACTGGTACATGTGCAAATAAATGCAGGAAAACAACCCCTGACTCATCATTATCCACACCGGATCCAAACCCGTTACACTGGTGCCGTGACCCTTTGGATCTTCAGATCAGCTTGATGCTCATTGCCGCGGATGCTGTACCGCTGTCCTGATCTGTGTTTCAGGATTATTGTATGGTCAGGTTTATGATAGACTGCAGATTTTGGCATAGAGGCTTGACTTGTTTGTTCCTTGCGTTTATGACTTTTACTTACTGTTGTATATCATTTTGCTTCCTGTGTTAACTGTTTATTAATCCAGTTTCTGTAAAAAAAAAAAAAAAAAAAAAGAAGGGAACAAAACTTACACAACGCAAGTACTGGTTGATAACAGCAGCTAAAGTAAATATGGATGGGTTTACTACTTTTAATTTGTCAAAAGGTAGGGGTGTCTGGCTTAATGATATTTCTGTTAGCAGGGATGTGGGACATACTCAGTTCATAGCTGATGGTTGTGCTGATACAGGGTTGGATCAGAGCCCGGGTTGTACACCTGTTAGTAGGTCCATGAGTGAGGGTCCCCATACTTCCAGACCCGGCCGTGATGTTAATGCCATTCACCAGCTCACTGACATGATGGGGCAGTTAGGTGCTCAGATTGGTGAGTCCATTGTTGCAAAGCTGATGTCAGCTGGTGTTGTGAATACTAGTAGTATCCCCCAGACATCTTCTGCCACCCAGGACACACACTGTGATATTACCAGTCTTCAACCTCCACATGTGACAGTTCATGCTAAATCTGATAAAGGACTCCAGACGTTCAGAGGTGACAACACTGACAAATACCCAGTTCTGTCAGGGTCTGTGGTAAGTAGGGGTGGACCCAAAATGCAGCCAACACTTGGGAGACGGTGCAGACAGGTTTATTAAACAAAAGAACTTAAACAAGCAAGGAAAAACCACAAGGAACAGCAGGCCAAAACACGAGAAGCACAGGGGATGACAACAGGCAACATGGACAGACTAAGGACAAACCGGACATGAACAGCTTGGGGAAGAACCAGACATGAACAGGCAACGCGACCAGATGATGACAAACCCAGAGATAAACAGACAAAAGGGAGCACAAAGACTATATAGACACAGGAGGCAAGGGTGATTGCACACAGGTGAAACACATTAGGGCGGGGCAGACAATCACCACACAGAAACAGGACCAGGACAGGAAGCAAAAACACTGACACACAAGGAAACCAATTACAAAATAAAACAGGAAGTGTGAACCATGACCATGACAAGTACAGGACTGGATTGCCTTGACCAAAACTCATCTCAGAAAGCAAGACATTCCTGTGTATGACCAAGCTGAAGAAATTATGAGTCATTTGATGGGCAAGGCCAAAGCTGTTGTGAAGATTGCTTTGCGTAGTGATCCTACACTTGATGTTAAACAGAAACCTGAACTGACATACAATGTTCTTCTCCACTATTTTAGTGAGGCTCCCTCATGTCTCCCACTCGCAGACTTTTATGCTACTCTGCCCAAGCACGGAGAGAACCCAGTTGACTACTGGATAAGACTGAACAAGGCCGCAGACCTGGCTCTTGAGGGCCTGCACAGACAAAGCAAGCGGACAGAAAACATGAGTGATGAAGTGGCTCTCATGTTTGTCAAACACTGCCCTGATCCAGAGCTATCCTGCACTCTCAAGTAAGCCAATTCATGAGTGGACTTCACATGATGTTCAGCTGAGGATTGATGATCATCAGAGAGAGTTGAGGGCTAGGGGCAGAACCACTGGGACTATGCAGCTAAAGAGCCACATCACATCTATCGCCTCTGAACAGCCTAGTCCACCGTCGTCTAGCCTGGCAGCATCTGGGCAACATCATTCTCAGAGTCCCTCACCCTCCTCTCTCCAAGCCCAGCATCATGTGTGTCGCCCTCCTTGCCCCTTTCCTGCACCTGTCCCATCTCATCTGGGGAAAACTGCCAAAGAACACTGCTGTTTCCCCAGGCAGCACTGTTATGACAGAGCCCACATCTTCTCATTCAGCTCCCAGAGGTGTTCTGGTTGCAAAGATTGTAACTCCGCTGTGGGGTGACCGGTGGGTTCCACTAAAGCTCATCAATACATCTGACAAGCCAATGTCGCTGAGACGCAATGCAAAGCTGGCTGATGTCTACTCCTGTGTGGCTCTTGAGGACATGAATGTCGCTGAGCACTCACAGGTCCCCCTGGTCAGCTACTCCCAATCAGCTGTGACACCTGCTGCTGATGCAAACTCTGCCCAGGACAAGCTCAGTTCGGTTGGGCTCAGTACTGTTGACACTGGTCATGTGAAGTGTCGGAGGACTGTAGGGGGAGGTTAGCTGACCTTGTTTTACAGTATGAGGATGTCTTTTCATGCCACCATCTTGATTGTGGGGAGCCAAAGGGCTTTGTACACCGCATACACCTGTCAGACAACAGGTTCCCGTATAGGAGAGTGCCCCCTAGCCAGTACCATAAGCTACGCCAGGTGCTTAGTGAGATGGAGGAAAGGGAGATCATCAGGAAGTCGACCAGTGAGTATGCATCACCATTGGTGCTTGTGTGGGAAAAAAATGGGGATCTCCGCATCTGCACAGACTTTCGCTGGTTGAACAAAAGGACCTTAAAGGATGCTTATCCCCTTCCCCATCAAGCTGATTGTTTGGCAGCTCTGGGGGGCAACTGTCTCTTCAGCACGATGGATTTGACCTCCGGCTTCTACAACATGCCGCTCCACGAGGATGACAGAAAGTACTCAGCCTTTACCACTCCTATGGGCCTTTATGAGTACAACCGTCTGCCGCAGGGCCTCTGCAACAGCCCTGGGAGCTTTATGCGCATGATGACCAGCATTTTTGGAGACCAAAACTATCTGAACCTGCTATGTTACTTGGATGATCTGCTGTTGTTTGCACCTGATGAAGAGACTGCTTTGGTGTGCCTGGAGATGGTGTTTGACAGGCTGCATGGCCATAACTTGAAGTTGGCTCCCAAAAAGTGCTTCTTCCTCAGGAGGTCAGTGAAGTTCCTGGGCCACATTGTGGATCGGCTGAAGGGTGTTTCAACCAATCCCAGTAAGGTTGACAACATCGCCAACATGACAAGTGCTGACCTCATGGAGCCTGATGGTGTGACTCCATCCCAGAAATGGGTAAGGTCCTTTTTAGGGATGGTAAATTACTATCAGCACTTTGTTCCCAGGTACTCTGCAAGCGCCAAGCCGCTCTTTGACCTATTGAAGGGTGCAAAGAGGAAAAGCGGCCGAAACAAAAATGGTTTGTCAAGCAGGAAGCTGTGTGCATCTGACTGGACTTCAGAGCAGGAACAAGCTTTTGAAGGCCTGAAGACTTCATTGGTTCACAGTGTTGTTTTGGCTCACCCTGACTTCACCCGTCCCTTCATGCTGTCGACTGACGCATCTCTGGACGGCATCGGGGCTGTTTTGTCTCAAGTTCAGGAGGGTGAAACATGAGCCAGACCCACTGCTTTCGCTAGAAAGTCATTGTCTCAGTCTCAAAGGAACTATCCAGCTCATCGTTTAGAATTTCTGGCTCTGAAGTGGTCAGTCTGCGACAAGTTCAGTCGCTGGCTGAAAGGCCACAAATTCACAGTATGGACAGACAATAACCCATTGACTCACATTCTGACAAAGCCAAAGCTGGACTGTTGTGAGCAGCGCTGGGTAGCCAAGTTGGCAAGCTATGACTTTGACATCAAGTATGTCCCAGGTCAGCAAAATGTTGTAGCTGATGCTTTGAGTCGCACACCGTTTGTAGTATTGGCCATAGACTGCTTGCTGAGCCATATACAGGTCTTCTCACTGATGTCAAAGACATGTCATCCATGTCGGTTCAAAACGCCTTCCATTCGTCCAGTGGCCATAAAAACATATCTCCTGTGAGTGGTATTGCCCAGTCCTCATACAGCCCACTTCTCATGCAAGCTCAGTCTGTTGCACTGGAGGAGGTGTCTGCTGTTCTTCAGTCACACATTGAGTG